CTTTTTCGGTGTGAACAGTATCGGTGCGGCGAACGGTGACGAGCTCGGTCGGATGATTTGTTTCTCTTACAGGTAATCTAACTGCTTCCTTAGTTCGTCGAGCTCGGGCTGTGTCAGTCTGAACTGTCGCTGTATGGTTGGTTGTGCCCCCGGTTCTAACTCTATTCGGTGGTCGTGCGCTCGCTAAGGTGGCAGCCCCTCCGGTAAGTCGTCCAAGAAAATCCCCGGGTACCGTTTCAACAGTTCCTGTAACTCGGGCGGCACCGCTGCCAGCAGTTTCTGAAAATCGCTCGGCTGCTCTGCTTCTCCCACCAATGCTATATCCACCGCGTACACATCAGCTCCAGCGGCGACAACCCGTTTCATCGTGATGGCGTTGGCATGGACTGTCGAAGACTCAGGTGACTGCCAGCGAGGTAATTCGACCCAGTTTCCACTACTTCTCACAGTGCAGCTACCCGTCGTCCAGTCAATTCGCGGGTTGTAGCGTCGCAACCAAACACTTCCCAGTAAAATGTCGTGTCCATCCTGTGTCGTCGCGAGCATTTCCTGTGTAAACCCGAAGTTCCCTCCGTAGCGAACTTTCACCCTCTCCACTTTCTCCCGTATTGCCAGTGGCGTGTCGTCAACTAAGCGTGCGACAATCTCTGGTAAACAACGGCTAGGCGTCAGTTGCAGTTTCCGTACGGTTGCGGTGTTAACTAAGCTGTGGCTTGCTCCTCCGTTGATAAATATCTTCACTGCTGTCCCCTGTATTTTCCCGTAGATCAGTATTGGGCAATCCGTCGCTGTACCCTCCTTATTCATCCGAGCCCGATCGATGACGCAAATCGGTACTATGACTCGGTGAGGGTCGGTGAGGTTGGGCGAGCAGGTTGTCTCGTCAGTAGTTGGCCCGTTTTCTACTGACTGCTGGCGTTTCCCTGCCTCTGAGACTCCCTCCCCTGCTCTGCTCCGCGGCGTCTCTGCTCCTCTGGGCATTCGCTCTCGTGATGGCCCGGCCTGTTGCAAGCAAAGCAGCGCCCCTTAAAGCCGTTGGCCCAAATTGCACAAGTTTTAAAAGGTTGACGAGGTGGTAGTTCAGGTTTTGGGCTGTGGCGAGAGGATCAAATTCGTGAAATTCGTTTTTTTTTTTTTTTTTTTTTTTTTTTTTTCGCAACACACAGCCAAACATCGCCCTTCCCCTGGTGGGAACTCGAAAGTCCCAAATTGCAGCTGCACTTTTTCCAAGTTTGCAAGCTACGCAGCATCAAGTTTTAAAAACTTGACCTGCGCGGCTTGCAATCTGGGACTCGGGCTTTAAAGTGTTCCATAAATACGGTACATCTAGGCTGCGTTCTGCGGGCGCATTAGCCCGCATTAATGTATATTGCAATATTTTTCAGATTTTCCAGGAGCCTTCTTTGATAACCAACTGACGGGTTATCAAGGCTCGCGATAAGCGCTTGGCTGCCGAGGCAAACCAAGCCCGAATGCCTGCAGAACGGTCTTTTTGGCAACCACAAATTTCCATTTGGCCGCTTTCCGAGAAATTTATCGTCCTAGCAATCTGACGCATCCTTGATGCGCGCATGATGCAACGCAGGGAACGCGCATGATGCGCGCATCAGCTCGAATGGAACAACTCAACAGCGCCATTAAAAAAAACGGCCGCGACATTGATTGCCCTCTGTTGCCCGACGCCAGAAAAAAAACCAAACCAAAAAAAGGGTTTCTGATTCGATGCAGAGGGGTTTCGATCTCAAGGGGTGTTCGAGTTTCCCCTTCAGATTTTTAGGCAGCTACCCGGCTCGTATGTGGGCAGCGTCGGGCAGGATGTACAGGCATCAGGCGAAGGCGTCAGGCACGTGCTGTCTGACTTCCCCGATCCCTCTGCAATGCCGAATTTGAGGAAAATTGAAATCAGCATCTGAAATGTCGAAATTTTCAAATCTCCGATTTCCGATTTTCCGAACCTCAATTTCCATTTTCTGAACCTCAATTTTTCTATTTCAAATTCCTGATTTCCGAACCTCAATTTGTCAATGTGCGGATCAGGCCGAGCCTAGGGCGCATCAGAGCTGATGCGCCCGCAGAACGCAGCCCTAGGGGCCTTCGCACATGTTGTTCAATTGCTTAGATAGATTGTTCTCATCCCACGGTAATTCCACTCTTGGGCTTGGAACAGGGCTGTCGCTTGCAGGGCGTTTGCCCTGCTGGACCTTGAATTCCAGGGCTAAGTTTTCCTTGAAACCTGAAATTGATGGGTCAAAGATTTTCTGGCCCTGATTCAATACCGGGCTGATTTCAGGCTCTATTCTGGTGTTTAAAGGGTAGATTTCAGGCGGCCCTGGAACAGAAACCATCAAGACCCCTCCCCCCTCTCCCCCTCTCAAACCCCTTTTCCCCCGTCCCCCGTTGTTCCCATTTCCTCCTGGCCTACAACCCGCATTTCCTATCCTGGTTGCATCCAACCTGGCAATTTTGGAGTTCGCAGTTGGGCAACCTCCAACTCAACTCAATCTATAAGTTCTGCTAGCGCCAATCGGTACTTGTTTCCATTTACCACGGCACTTCAAACATACAGGCAATACAGTAGGTAGTACATAAACCAGATGATATTGAACTCGAACAGGTGATGACTTTGAAAATGCTGGTGTATCTTGTAGAATGTGTAGAAAGTGTCCAGATCTTCTATGCTGCCAAGTCTAGGAAGCCCGCTGTGTGTGTCTTTGTCGTACCAGATTTTTAATGTAGTGTTTGTGTTTGTGGTAGTGGAATGAGGCTACGGATATTTCTACCCTAGCCCTGAAGCCTAAAGGGCTGGAATTGGCCCGGGGAAATACAAGTGAGGGGAAATGAAGTGAGGGGGAAGAGAGTGAGGGGGGATGGAAGTGAGGGGAAATGAAGTGAGGGGGGATTTCCATTCACTCCATTCCCCCTCACACACAGAAGTGGGGGGAAAACGAGTGAGGGGAAATATAAGTGAGGGGAAATGTAGTGAGGGGGAAGGGAGTGAGGGGGAATGGAAGTGAGGGGAAACAAAGTGAGGGGGACAGGGATGAGGAGGGATGGAAGTGAGGGAAGTGAGGGGGAATACAAGTGAGGGGGGATGGAAGTGAGGGGAAATTGAGTGAGGGGAAATACAAGTGAGGGGAAATGAAGTGAGGGGGAAGAGAGTGAGGGGGGATGGAAGTGAGGGGAAATATAAGTGAGGGGAAATGTAGTGAGGGGGAAGGGAGTGAGGGGGAATGGAAGTGAGGGGAAACAAAGTGAGGGGGACAGGGATGAGGAGGGATGGAAGTGAGGGGAAATTGAGTGAGGGGAAATACAAGTGAGGGGGGATGGAAGTGAGGGGAAATTGAGTGAGGGAAAATCCAAGTGAGGGGAAATGAAGTGAGGGGAAAGAGAGTGAGGGGGGATGGAAGTGAGGGGAAATGAAGTGAGGGGGGATTTCCTCTCACTCCATTCCCCCTCACTCACAGAAGTGGGGGGAAAACGAGTGAGGGGAAATATAAGTGAGGGGAAATGTAGTGAGGGGGAAGGGAGTGAGGGGGAATGGAAGTGAGGGGAAACAAAGTGAGTGGGATTGGGATGAGGAGGGATGGAAGAGAGGGGAAATTGAGTGAGGGGGAATTCAAGTGAGGGGGGATTCAAGTGAGACCTGAGAATTTCAGGGTCGTACATGCCGAGCCCCCTGATTTGTCCGAGTGCCCCAAAACCAAACGACAGCCCTGGCTTGGAACTACGTACACGTTCTTAATTAGTAGCAACTTCGTGGTTCAGACGAGGCTTCGGGTCCGGTCGGGACGTGTGCATGAACGTGTACGGTTAGGAGTGTACAGGCTTTCAGAAATTGGACGTCATCCCGATTTTCTACTCAATTCTCGGAACCAACGTGGCCTTTCTCAATTCCTGGAAGTACACGTTTGCAGGTTTGTGAGCGAGGGCAGTGTACGGTACGGGCGCAAAGCGAGAACTGTAACAGCCGGTAAAGACGAAAACGAATTCTCGCGAACAGCAGCATTCTCGAATTTTCATGCCAGCTTGCGCGGGAAGTATCTCGAGCCACCCATTCCAAAGACAACATTGCTGCAGCTGACGTTCGACAGGGCAAAACCTACCATTCATCTGCTCCCGTCATAAGTGCTGTAGTTAGGACAAAGAGTTGTTCTGCTACCCACTCCTGCAACCCATTTGTTTACAGGTGCAGGCCAGAACCACTCCAGCGCGAGCAGCCTGCTGTCAATCCCTAGCTGACTTCGATTCGGCTCAAAAGAGTTGACATTTGAGTCGACTCAAAAAAGTTGACATTTGTAGTCGGCTCGAGTCGACTAAATAAAAAAATATGTCTAAAGTCGGCTCGAAAGAGTTTGACTTTCGAGTCGACTCAACGGCGACTCTGCGTGTTCCAATCGCCATTTAAGTTCACTTTCGCCACAAAATGGCTCAGTCCTCCCAGGATTTTCTGACTAAGGGACTCACAGTGCACGGAAATCCCGACTAGAAATAGTACCCGTGCTTGAGAATAGTACCCTAATCGCCATGGCGCGGGCTACCGTGCTCCTGGCCCTCCTGCTTGTCCTCGCCTGTAAGTGATGGCGTTCGTAGTAGCATCTGCCCCAATGCTCGTTGTCCTATGGTGACTCAATAGCCCCGTGTGCACTAGCCGTATCATGATGCTGAGCATAGCAATTCTCACCGGGCTGTGAGAGCGCCGCTACGCGTTCTACAATAATAAGTAATTTTCACTTCAGAATACGCTAATGAACGGCCTAGAGTCGACAAATTCATCCTTCATCAGCCTTGCATGTTTATCGTGGATTGATGACGTCTCATAAGGCTCTTGATATCCATCTTATCTCTCTCCTCTGTTAACTTTGAAAGTTTAACGATCATCTCCGATTCTTGTATTCGTTTCATCGCATTCTCTCACTTCCTCCCCGCCCTTTTCCCCAATTCTCCGACTCTTGGCGAATACCTACTCCTTCCGCAAACCGGCTCCCGTGACTCCGGAGCAGGGTCGTACCAGACTGAGGTACTGCACTCGTAATACTTTTCTCCACCCACTCGCTAATCGCTCTTGATATCGTACATGATATCGCTTGAATAAACTGCCATTTATTGATTCGTCCAAACGTGTTTTGATCACTTTCCCCGTCTTGGATATTTTTCTTCCATTCAGTTTCCCTTGACGTACAATCCAAGTTGGCCGCCGTGTCGCTGCAGGGTAAGACGGTGGTGGTGGGCGGAAAGTGGAGGGCGAGTCCGTGGCGGTACAACGTCCTGTACTGGAAGCAACCCACCGTCCGCCCTGGAGACGTCCTCGGTAAGAGCAACGACAGAGGCAAAAGTTACTAAGTTAGGGAGAAGGAATTGGCGTAGAATTCGCCATGCAGGCATGCATGGGATTATTCAGAGTACCAAAGCTATTGGTGTATTGTAATTAGCTCCAAATAAGGACACCTGCTCTACAGTTACTACTCACATGCTCGTTGGAAGGATTTGTCCAACCTAGCCGACCATCGAGGCACTGTGCCAAAGATGGGATGTTGGTTGAACATGTGATTGTCAAATTCTCTTCCCATTCGGCTTCCTGTTTCTAGGAAAAGCAAAATCATTCTCTGTTTCTTGTATAATCATCACAAACTTCACCTATCATTCTGATCTGTCTTTGTCATCGTCACCAAAATCTTTCTAAAATCAGAATCGTATTCTATCAACTCCTAATCACCTTCTCGGATCTCTCCTTTCTCTCTTCCCAACGATGCCATCGCGGCCAGCCTGGCCAGCCGCGCCTAGCATCACGCGGCGCCGTAGTCCTGTTTCGTTTCCAGACCGAGCTGTGATGCTCGGTTTCGGCTTGGATAATTTCCACACATGGCTAGTATACTTCCCCCACTTCCACCCTCGTTTCCCCCACTCTCCCTCCGGCCCTTCTTCCCCACATGTTTTTCTCGTGCACCCCCTGTGTGCCTCCTGGCTAGTGTTCCGATGGAGGTTCGTTCCGCATGACGTGTGGCTGATGCACTCAAGGAAAGCCTTCGCCAATTGTGATTTCTCTGCCGGCAGCGCCACCAGGAAGACTGCCATCTCCTTCACCGGGAAATACAAGTAGGTTGTGCTGCTCTCTTCATCTCTTCCCTGTTCTCCTTCTGCCCCATCCACGTGTATTTTGAGTCAGGCTCAGGTAGCATTTCTGTGACTTGGTAGGTTGTGCTGCAGCCTCTTGTCTTCCTTATGTCCCAGGCTTGGCAGGCGAGGAGGATGGTGAGTCTTTGGCTTGAATGTGGTAAAGTGTTGAGTCTGATTGGCAGGAGTGCCACCTCGTGCTTGCATGCACAGACACGTGCGTTGACTTGTACCTGTGTGTGCTCAATCTGTGCCTGTCATGCCTTGTATGTATGCATGTGTCTGTATGTCAATGTCTTTGGCATTTTTAAATCTTCAGGTACACAGTGCCAAGTTCAGCAGCAGGAACCACCTTATACTTTGGAAGCAGTGTGCTATGGCAGTGTGCTGCATGGAAGATCAAGGTGGCTATTAGAATTCTTGCTGCTGGGCCTCCCGCCCCGCCTCCCCCTCCCCCTTCCCCTCCACCTTCCCCTCCCCCTCCCCCTGCCTAACCCTAATTTAACCGTCGGCGCTCTAAGTGCAATACTTTCATTATTATTGGGCCTTGAAACTGATAGCTTCTCTTGTAGTAACTAACCATTTATGGAAAATAAAGTCTTCAGTACTCAAGACTGCTCATTTTCTGGCGGGAAGAGAATTTTCCTAGGAAGGGTGAGGATTATGGTCGGGGTTCAAATCGGCATGGCTCGTGTGGTGTGTTATGGTGGATCACTGCGGGTCAAGAATCATCTTTCTGGTGTTGGTCAATCATCTAGAATGATCGATCCAGCCATCACCACAAACTGTTCACATGACTGTGATAACACAGATGAAGAATATACGGAAGCAAACATTGTTGCTTCGGTTTGTATTCTTCCTGTTTGTCATTTTTTAATATAAACAGATATTGGTACAAGCTCGCTAGTCGATAAAACACGTTAACCGCGATAATGGGCAGTCTAATATTATCATGTCGGTGGAAATGTCGGTCCTAGTGATCGTTTTCTCGTATCGCGATGTGCTAGTGGCTGAGGGCCTTTTGGCGAACGAACCTGTCAGTAGCTTCGGCATGGTTTTGGTTTGGAGCTTCCCCCTCCCGCAATTTTCTTGTGATACTGTACAAAGCGCATCACACACGGTAGCTAGAGCGAAGCGTTCCAGACCAGGTATCCCACCACACGAAACCGCGGCAGAACCGAGGCAGAGGGTTTGCTTTACGTCTTGCGAGTCCGAAGCAAGTTTCTTGGTGCGGCACCCCCGCCAAACACATGATTCCCTTCGGAGCACACGATTACGTCCAACTACGGTCAAGCAGGAAGGCCGGTTCTGTGCTGTGTTGACTACAGAGGCGAAACGTGGTGGGTTGTAGGCGTGTAGGCAGAGCTTGGGGGGCTGCGGCTCGGGTGGGCACCAACTCCTCAGTATTAGCGTGCCCTTGCTCATGACCTCCCTCACACCGATCTCATTCCAGAAATAGCCTAAACGAGGGATCACGATACTACCGAGGTTTTATCGCATTCGTCATTTTTGGACTGAAAGGGGTCTCGTCTCCTGAGTTTAGGCTTGTCGCTGCTATTGCCATGGCGCGGGCTTCTTTGCTCCTTGCCCTGCTTGTTCTCTCCTGTGAGTGCAAGGGCTGAACTGACTTCGCTTTAGTAAGGCTAGTCCCAACGAAATTCTTGTCCTGTCATTCACAAAAACTGCTGCTCGCGTCCCAATGCAATTCTTTGTCTAGTCATTCTCAAGAACTGCTGCTCGCGTGTGGCGCGCACACTGTGAAGACTTTGGGGTCTATCAACAGTAAAAAAATTGGGGTCTATCTTGGCGCGCAATTCTTTCAAGAACCGTAGGATATTATAATATGAAAGCTCCGCACTCCTTTCATCTACCTCCGAGCTCACATTATCACCATCTAATCCGGTCTCCGTACCCTCTCTTTCGCGTCATCCCTCTACCTTTTCCGCGAATCCCCGTGTTCCCCGAACATCCTGATCTTTCCGCAACTAATCGGTCGACCGACTTGCGCGCAGGCTTCTACCTTGCTGAGGTATGCCTTCCCACCCGGTCGTTTCTCTCCCATACCATATATTCCCCCATTCCATTGATGTTCCCAAGCGTATGGAAACGCGTGCATTAGCTAACAGCCATTTTTTCGTTTGATGTGCTCGATTAAATTCCCTCTTTTCGGTTCCTCGAATCCATTTTTTTCGCCTGGATACTTGCATCTCGCGGGTGCGTCGCTGCAGTGAAAAAAAGGTGGCGGTGGACGCTTTCTCACAGCGCTGGTGATTGTACATCCCTCTTATTCGCCTGTGGACCTAAATCTGGCTGGTGTGTCGCTGCAGGGCAAGAAGGTGGTGGTGGGCGGTAAATGGAAGGCGAGTCCATGGCAGTACAACGTTATTAACTGGAAACAACCCACCGTCCGCGCTGGAGACGTCCTCGGTAAGCGCAACGCGCATGGCAAAGCTGCGGTGTAGGTATGGCGAGATGGGTAGCCCCTCGGGCCATCGTGCTCAAAATTCTCCAGCAGCGAGCAACGTTGTGACTCACTGCGTTGGACGCTCATATTTATTGCAGGCTCTTTCATCTACAATTGTACGGTTCCTTCCCCCACCCCCCTCCCATCTTCTTTCCCCCACCACCCCTCCCACCCCCTCGTCATTTACTCTTTCCCCACGCTTTCCCCCGCGTGCATCCCCGCGACAGTGTTTCGGTGGCGGTACCTGCCGCACGACGTGTGGGTGATGAACTCGCAGACCGCCTACGCCAACTGCGACTTCTCCGCTGGTAGCGCCACCAAGAAAACGGGCATCTCTGTGACCGGCAAATACAAGTAGGTTGCGCGCCTCTACCTCTTCCCCCTTCCCCCTTCCCACACTCCGCCTCCACCCAACCCCCCCTCCCTTCCCTCCCCCTCCCCTCTCCCTCTCTCTCTCTCTCTCTCTCTCTCTCTCTCTCTCTCTCTCTCTCTCTCTCTCTCTCTCTCTCTCTCTCTCTCTCCACTCTCTCTCCCTCTCTCTCTCCTCCCTCTCTCTCTCTCCTCTCTCTCTCTCTCTCTCTCTCTCTCTCTCCCTCTCTCTCTCTCTCTCTCTCTCTCTCTCTCTCCCCTCTCTCTCTCCCTCTCTCTCTCTCTCTCTCTCTCTCTCCCTCTCTCTCTCTCTCTCTCTCTCTCTCTCTCTCTCTCTCTCTCTCTCTCTCTCTCTCTCTCTCTCTCTCTCTCTATCGCTCTCCCTCCCTCCCTATCGCCTTCCCTCCACCCTTCTCGCTCTCCCTCCTTCCCTCTTCCCCCTCTCCCTGCCTTCTCACTGGAGTGCTAGTGTGTGTGCGTGCATAAACACATGCCTGCGTGTTTACTTGCATGTGTGTGTGCTCAATTCGTTTTTGTCCATATTTTGTCTGCATGTTCAGGTTCACAGTGCCAAGTTCAGCAGCAGGAACCACCTTATACTTTGGCTGCAGTGTACCAGGCCATTGCCTTTCAGGGAAGATGAAGGCGGCTATTAAAATTAGCGCATGATTGCTGTTCTGGGCGCAATGCTTACCTTACATTAAACTTGTAGTATTTCTTGTAACTATACCACTTACTCCTATCTTGGTATGGATTATGACGCTTACTACATACGGTTTTAGTTGTAACATGTTTGACAGCGTTCGTGTAGCAATTTATTGAGGGGCAATTTGCTCTTCATTTAGTATTTCCGCGTGGTTCAGTGCGATCGAATATCCAACTTTCTGAGGTCCATCCGTCAGAAAGAACGTTCCCACAATGTTCCCACAACGTTCCCTCACCCCCTAATCTGTTTGAAATGCACGATTCGTCGCGACTCGCCATTCGTCGGTGGCCCTGGGAAGGTCGAGTTGCAGCAATGAAACATACAGCACGTGGTATGGTGCCCGCGCACATGCGCCGCAGGACTTGCGACGCTGCTTGACGGCGCAAGCGAGCGGCGCATGTGGAGGGAATGGTGCGAAGCTTGGCTCAGCGCCATCCGAGCCTGCCTCTCTCTCCAACCAAACCGACCTCCAAGCGGCAAGAACTCGCACATGCTCCGCACCGCGCGATGTGCTGTACGTTGATTGCGGAAACCACAGCATGCACCTTTCCTCCGCGCTACTTGTGCGCGGCCGGTCTTAAACCCCAATCCGCAGCGTTGCGCGAGGGGAAGCTATTGCGCCATGGCCGGCACCGACAATGCAGCGTCCGCTTGCGCCAGACGCGCCGTGCTTCCGACCTTCCGACCGTCCGACCGTCGGCGTCGTCACCATGACCGTCGATCGTTCCTCGCCGCCAATGATTCGCCTGTTTGCGAGTTATCGGCCACCGCCAGTGCGACTTTCCGTGCGCCCTTTCGTGCTCGATTTCGTGCGCCCTTCTGGCCCCCTTCCGTGCGCCCTTCCGTGCGCGCCCTTTCTTGCGCCCTTTCGTGCGCCCTTCCGTGCACGCCCATTCTTGCGCCCTTCCTTGCGCCGCGCGGCTATTTAGTCACGCTGCTGTGCGTTGCTGCCACATCGCACGCAGTTCCCCCAAGCTCCGTTGAAACCACATCATCTTCTCCACGCAATCGCAAGCGTTGAGTCGAATCAATCCAGACCTCCTCACCCGCCCGCCAGCCTGGGACTTGCCTCCGATAGTTTCCAAACTTCCCGCGTAAGACAGCGAGAAACAGCGAGACAGCGACTGTGACTGTGATGGCGAGGCTCCATTTGCTCTGCGCGCTGTTCCTCCTCGCACTGCTGTGTAAGTGAAGTCTCATTATTGTGAGTGAGCCGTTGGCAACTTGGCAGGTGCTCCGCTGCTCGTGCTCGCGTCCTCTCGCCACCCTCCCTTCGCCCTGCACCGATCCTCGTCTTTTTCAACTCTGCCTTTAACCTCCGTCCCTCCCCGCGCTCTTATCTCGTTCTCTCCCTCCTTTCACTCCTGTTCCCCTCGCTTTCCTCCTTGCTGTCTCTTTCCTATCAATTCGCTTCATCCGTTCTCCCATTGCTCCCATTGCTTCACTTCTCTGACCCTCTGTGGCCGCAGGTGCAGCTGACACTCAGGTACCGCCACTGCCCCCACCACCACAACCGCCACCACCGCTGCCCCCAGCCAGCCTTGCACGTCGCCACACACTTGCCATCCGCCACACGTCACCCTTGTTCATTCCTACCTTCAGCTCCTCCGTCTGCCATGTTGCATCCGTTCGCCTCTTGCACCTCCTTTCCCCCATTCTTGCGTCCCTCCCCGAATACTCCCCACCACTCAATCTCCCTCCCCACCACCCCCGTTCCGTCCCACCATCCCCATGCGAGCAGGCCAAGACAGTGACGGTGGGCAGGGGGTGGTTCAGCCCGTGGTCGTATGGCGTTGAGTCCTGGAAGCCTCCCCGCGTGAAGCCAGGAGACGTGCTCGGTAAGCCCATGGCAGCCCTTGGCAGCCCATGTGTTGCTGCTCAATTGCGCGACTCTTCATCCTCCCCTCCCCACCTCATCCTCCCCACCTCCTTTCAATCTTCCAGTCCCCTCCGCTTACCTCTTTACTCTCCCCTCCTTGCACCTCTTCCTCCTCCCCTCCTCGTTCTCCCCTCCCTCCCCACTGAGCATTGTTCCCGGGGCATGGCAGTGCATGACACCTGGCATCCTATTCCTTCCCCCGTTCACTTTTGAGTCGACTCAAAGTTCCCGGGGCATGGCAGTGCATGACACCTGGCATCCTATTCCTTCCCCCGTTCGATCCTCCTCCTCCCCGTTCCGTCCCCCCCTTTCATCCTCTTCTCCACGTTCTGTTCTCCCCTTCTCTTCTTTGTGCAGTTTTCCGCTGGCGCCTGGCAGCGCATGACGTGTGGCGTCTCAAGGACCTAGCAGCCTACACCAACTGCACCTTTGCCACGGGCAAGAGGCTCACCCCCATCCGCACCTCCTACCGCTACAGGTGTGCTGCTGTCCGCTGCACACAGCGTTTTAATCTCTCTTGCGCAATCCACCACCACCACCCTTCATCAACATTCACCATCCTTCACCATCCGTCACCAGCCCTCACCAGCCCTCACCAGCCCTCACCAGCCCTCACCCCTCTCAACCGTTCTCAACCCATTCAGGTACAAGGTGCCACTGACAGCAGCGGGTACAACTCTCTTCTTCTCCTGCAGCGTGCCCTCTCACTGCAGCGTCTTCCACATGAAGACAAAGATCCCCGTCTCGCCCTAGACTGCCCTTCGGAGCCGCCTGCAGTCTGCAGTGTGATATCAAGCCGTCTGAAGCTGCTGTTTCCTCTGCATCATCTGAAGCCTCCTGTAATGTGCCAGCCATCTGAAATTGCCAGCGCTATGTGATTTCAAGCCACCTGCAGTTTGCCTTCTGAAGCCTCCTGCAACACGCCATCCCAGAGCCGCCATGCCGCCTCACAGCAGCGCCTTTTGCATAAATATAAAGATCCCTGTTTCACCCGAGAGTTTTGAGACGTCTCAAAACAATAAAAGATCCCTAGAATTCCTGTTTCGCCCTAGGGTGACATCTGAAGCCGCCCGCACTGAGACATCTAGAGTCCTAATGCTGCTATGCCATGCCATCTCACTGCAATGCCTTCGCCCTGGTCTGCCTCTTCAGGTGCCATGCCATGCCATGCCATGCCATGCCATGCCATGCCATGCCACCTCAATATGGTCCCTTCAGGGCAGAAACCGTGGTGCCTGTCCTCCTGTAGATTAAGGGACTCCCACCACCTTTTGCGCATGAAACCTCTGGTCTTTCTTGTAAATAAACCACTGATTGTTTCAGTAGGGGGTTCAATCCGGTGTGGCTCTTCACTGAGTGTTTCAGTGCGGTCCTTCAGTAAGAATTCAGGGTTCGTATCCTTCACTATGTGAGAGATGATACCACAATCGTCTTCTGTTTCTCATACAGATGCTAAAGCGGACAATTCGTCGCAACGCAACTCGCCGCCATTCGACAAAGGCCTAGAGTACGTGTTGCAACCATGCCAAGTATAGCACGTGCTGCCGCGCACATGCGCCGCACGACTTGCTGTACGCTGATTGACTTTCGACAGTCGCCGACGCTGCTTGACGGAACAGGCAAACAGCGCATGTCGATGAGAACGGAGCAAAGTCAGCCTGCCACGCGGCATGCATTCCCATCCATGGCGGCTTGCTCAGCGCAGCGCCATCCGAGCCCGCCTAATGATTCCCGCCGAGAAAGCCCTACCAAACCGCCGTCCGAGCGGCGAAACTGGAGACATCAAGCTTCTTTTGCGCGGCCCGACTTAGAAAGCTATCCGCGGCGTTGCGCAAGGGGAAGTTAGTTGTGCCATGGCCGGCGCCTACGAGGCGTCTGCTTGCGCCAGACGCGCCGTCTTCTTCTCCGCCAACTTTCGCCTGCGGGTTATCGGCCACAGTCAGTGCGCCCGTCCGTGCGCGGCGCGGCTATTTAGTCGCTCTACTGCCGTGTCGCACGCAGCTCCTCGAGGTTCCGCTTAAAACACCACCGTTTCCACCGTAATCGCAGCAGCAGACTCGAGTCGAATCATCCAGACTTCCTCTCCCGCACGCCCGCCTCATACTTTCCAGTTTGCAAGCTTTCCGTACTTCTGATAGGTCGCGGCGCCACGCGTTTCAGCGAAGTCACTTCCCGCGTGTTCGAGCGGCCGAGATGGCGCGGCTCAAACTGTTGTGCGCGCTTCTGCTCCTCGTGCTGCTGAGTGAGTGAAGTTTCGTGTCTCGTGATATATGATTCTTGAGCGTCTCAGAAAAAAATGGTTCGTGATTGTAAGTGAGCCGTTGACAGGTGGTCCGCTGCTCACGCTCGCGCCCTTTCGCCACTCTCCCTTCGCCCCTCACTGCCCCTTGTCATGTCACAGCCATCCTTGTCATGTCACAGCCATCCTTGTCATGTCACAGCCATCCTTGTCATGTCACAGCCATCCTTGTCATGTCACAGCCATCCTTGTCATGTCACAGCCATCCTTGTCATGTCACAGCCATCCTTGTCATGTCACAGCCATCCTTGTCATGTCACAGCCATCCTTGTCATGTCACAGCCATCCTTGTCATGTCACAGCCATCCTTGTCATGTCACAGCCATCCTTGTCATGTCACAGCCATCCTTGTCATGTCACAGCCATCCTTGTCATGTCACAGCCATCCTTGTCATGTCACAGCCATCCTTGTCATGTCACAGCCATCCTTGTCATGTCACAGCCATCCTTGTCATGTCACAGCCATCCTTGTCATGTCACAGCCATCCTTGTCATGTCACAGCCATCCTTGTCATGTCACAGCCATCCTTGTCATGTCACAGCCATCCTTGTCATGTCACAGCCATCCTTGTCATGTCACAGCCATCCTTGTCATGTCACAGCCATCCTTGTCATGTCACAGCCATCCTTGTCATGTCACAGCCATCCTTGTCATGTCACAGCCATCCTTGTCATGTCACAGCCATCCTTGTCATGTCACAGCCATCCTTGTCATGTCACAGCCATCCTTGTCATGTCACAGCCATCCTTGTCATGTCACAGCCATCCTTGTCATGTCACAGCCATCCTTGTCATGTCACAGCCATCCTTGTCATGTCACAGCCATCCTTGTCATGTCACAGCCATCCTTGTCATGTCACAGCCATCCTTGTCATGTCACAGCCATCCTTGTCATGTCACAGCCATCCTTGTCATGTCACAGCCATCCTTGTCATGTCACAGCCATCCTTGTCATGTCACAGCCATCCTTGTCATGTCACAGCCATCCTTGTCATGTCACAGCCATCCTTGTCATGTCACAGCCATCCTTGTCATGTCACAGCCATCCTTGTCATGTCACAGCCATCCTTGTCATGTCACAGCCATCCTTGTCATGTCACAGCCATCCTTGTCATGTCACAGCCATCCTTGTCATGTCACAGCCATCCTTGTCATGTCACAGCCATCCTTGTCATGTCACAGCCATCCTTGTCATGTCACAGCCATCCTTGTCATGTCACAGCCATCCTTGTCATGTCACAGCCATCCTTGTCATGTCACAGCCATCCTTGTCATGTCACAGCCATCCTTGTCATGTCACAGCCATCCTTGTCATGTCACAGCCATCCTTGTCATGTCACAGCCATCCTTGTCATGTCACAGCCATCCTTGTCATGTCACAGCCATCCTTGTCATGTCACAGCCATCCTTGTCATGTCACAGCCATCCTTGTCATGTCACAGCCATCCTTGTCATGTCACAGCCATCCTTGTCATGTCACAGCCATCCTTGTCATGTCACAGCCATCCTTGTCATGTCACAGCCATCCTTGTCATGTCACAGCCATCCTTGTCATGTCACAGCCATCCTTGTCATGTCACAGCCATCCTTGTCATGTCACAGCCATCCTTGTCATGTCACAGCCATCCTTGTCATGTCACAGCCATCCTTGTCATGTCACAGCCATCCTTGTCATGTCACAGCCATCCTTGTCATGTCACAGCCATCCTTGTCATGTCACAGCCATCCTTGTCATGTCACAGCCATCCTTGTCATGTCACAGCCATCCTTGTCATGTCACAGCCATCCTTGTCATGTCACAGCCATCCTTGTCATGTCACAGCCATCCTTGTCATGTCACAGCCATCCTTGTCATGTCACAGCCATCCTTGTCATGTCACAGCCATCCTTGTCATGTCACAGCCATCCTTGTCATGTCACAGCCATCCTTGTCATGTCACAGCCATCCTTGTCATGTCACAGCCATCCTTGTCATGTCACAGCCATCCTTGTCATGTCACAGCCATCCTTGTCATGTCACAGCCATCCTTGTCATGTCACAGCCATCCTTGTCATGTCACAGCCATCCTTGTCATGTCACAGCCATCCTTGTCATGTCACAGCCATCCTTGTCATGTCACAGCCATCCTTGTCATGTCACAGCCATCCTTGTCATGTCACAGCCATCCTTGTCATGTCACAGCCATCCTTGTCATGTCACAGCCATCCTTGTCATGTCACAGCCATCCTTGTCATGTCACAGCCATCCTTGTCATGTCACAGCCATCCTTGTCATGTCACAGCCATCCTTGTCATGTCACAGCCATCC